AGATACCACGGCTAATACCGCCTTAACCTGAATAAACTGAACACGGAGAGAAACAGAAACCTGAATAACTGAACACGGAGAGAAACAGAATCCTGAATAAACTAAACACTGAGAGAAACAGAAACCTGAATAAACTGAACACTGAGAGAACAGAAACCTGAATAAACTGAACACTGAGAGAAACAGAAACCTGAATAAACAGAACACTGAGAGAAACAGAAACCTGAATAAACAGAACATTGAGAGAAACAGAAACCTAAATAAACTGAACACGGAGAGAAACAGAAACCTGAATAAACTAAACACTGAGAGAAACAGAAACCTGAATAAACTGAACACGGAGAGAAACAGAAACCTGAATAAACTGATCACGGAGAGAAACAGAAACCTGAATAAACTGAACACTGAGAGAAACAGAAACCTGAATAAACAGAACACTGAGAGAACAGAAACTTGAATAAACTAAACACTGAGAGAAACAGAAACCTGAATAAACGGAACACGGAGAGAACAGAAACCTGAATAAACAGAACATTGAGAGAACAGAAACCTGAATAAACAGAACACTGAGAGAACAGAAACCTGAATAAACAGAACATTGAGAGAAACTGAAACCTGAATAAACTGAACACTGAGAGAAACAGAAACCTGAATAAACTGAAGACTGAGAGAAACAGAAACCTGAAATAACAGAACACTGAGCGAAAAAGAAACCTGAATAAACAGAACACTGAGAGAAACAGAAACCTGAATAAACCGAAGACTGAGAGAAACAGAAACCTGAATTAACAGAACACTGAGAGAAACAGAAACCTGAAAAACTAAACACTGAGAGAAACAGAAACCTGAATAACTAAACACGGAGAGAAACAGTAACCTGAATAACTAAACACGAAGAGAAACAGTAACCTGAATAACTAAACACGAAGAGAAACAGAAACCTGAATAAACTGAACACTGAGAGAAACAGAAACCTGAATAACTAAACACCGAGAGAAACAGAAACCTAAATAACTAAACACTGAGAGAAACAGATACCCGAATTAACAGAACACTGAGAGAAACAGAAACCTGAATAACGAAACACAGAGAGAAACAGAAACTTGAAGAACTAAACACTGAGAGAAACAGAAACCTGAATAAACTGAACACTGAGAGAAACAGAAACCTAAATATCAACAAAACACTAAGAGAAACAGAAACCTGAATAAACTGAAGACTGAGAGAAACAGAAACCTGAATAAACTAAACACTGAGAGAAACAGAAACCTGAATAAACTGAACACAGTCAGAAACAGAAACATGAATAAACTGAACACTGAGAGAAACAGAAACCTAAATAAACAGAACATTGAGAGAAAAATAAACTTGAATAAACTGAAGACTGAGAGAAACAGAAACCTGAATAAACTGAAGACTGAGAGAAACAGAAACCTGAATAAACAGAACATTGAGAGAACCAGAAATCTGAATTAATAGAACACAGATGGAAACAGAAACCTGAATAAACTGAACACAGTCAGAAACAGAAATATGAATATTAACTAAACAGTAAACACTAAGATTCGGATAAACTGAACTCTCACAGACTTTAAATAGAACTGACTGAACTGAATTGTTGAAATATGAATCAGCTGCGTGAGGTTCTTGTAAGAGTAAGTAAGGAACTGATTTGATGAAGTTGTGAACGGTTTTATTACTAGGAGGAGAGAGACTGCCTGAAAACCCGGGTTCATCACTCTGTGCAGTGTATGGTCTACCTAAACCCACGCCTAGTAACATGCCAGCATGCTGTAAAGTAGTAAAACTATTGCTAAAATCTCGAAATGTCAAGACCGGTATGAAAAGAGTGCCGGAAATATGAAAAGAATATTCACTCATTTTTTACACTCAAGGTGTGTTCCCTAAAACTTTTCAAATTCTTTTCGAAATCATTTAAGATTTAATCAACAAACTTTAAGTAAAATGTACAGTTTTAACCAGTTTAAAGTTGAATGAAAGTCGTCTTTATTATGTCTTTCAATTTTAGAAGCGTATTGTTGGATTTTTTTATTTGTAACGGTGTCAACTATGAAAATGGGTCCTATACAATTACATAAATATATATTACGCAGTCATAACTGTGGCCGGCAAATTATACAAAATTTCCGTATACAGAGCCCATGCTGGAGAAAAGAATTGAGTTATAGTCGCAAACTCTGATTTTCCAATCCCTATATCTTCGCAACCCACTGTCGTAGACCTTAGATATTTCAAACCATACATTTTTCTATATCAACTAATTTAAGTTTGAAAAATCCAAGTTTATACTATTAGGTTGCAAAGATATAATAATTAGAAAATTTTATGTTATGGCAATGACCAAACTCCGTTAAAAAAGAGATTTTCACTTTGTTTCATGTATAATTTTATGATAAAGAGAATATTCAATATTCCACGTTCCTTTAAAACTTTTTCACTCCTTTCAGCAGAAAACCGTTCTAAACAGTATATTTTTATACAAAATAGAATTATAGAAATGCTCCAAAAACATTTAATACGTGTTTACAAAATATGTCCTTGATTCATAGAAATAAAGTATAAAAAATGTGATTGTTGTACACTTCCTAATCTTTCATTTTTATATGTGGGTGTTGGATCCTAAGCCCCTGGTCTTTGACCCCCCCCCCCCCCCCCAACTCCTAATCTGAGTTTCCCCTTTCACCGTCATGTATTTTTTCAAGTCATAACATTCAAACGGCTAGGCTATGTTCTTGCCATTCTAAAAAAAAAAAAATTTTAGCAATAAAATTGTAAAGACATGTATATATGTTTTTATTTTCTGACAGTTTTGTAAATGTAAATAGTAAACGTTATTATTATCATCATTATTATTATAAAATTCAACCTTCAGGTACTTAAGTTTCACGAGTTTCATGTCGTAGTAAAGTCTTTCACTCTTGAGGGTAAGCCTATTATCTACTCTGAGCCCGCAATTTTCAAGCTGCGGCGCGGGTCGTACTTCCTTAAACCCAGCTTAGACTCAACTCTGACGACAGCTTGTGTCACGTGATTGACAGCTGCAAGATTTTCGGCTCGACTTAAGGAGTTAGGCCCAATGAAAATAAAACCGACCTTGGTTGGTTTTTGTGGAGAATAAGGCTCAATGTTGAGTATTGAAATGAATTGCCTCTAATGATATAAATTATCATGAACTAACATGAACTAGCATAAGCTGACATAAACTAACATTAACTAAAAAAGAATAAACAAAAAATAATATAAACTAACATAACCTAATATTTCCAAGGTAAAAGCATGTGCTTGTGTAAGGTTGATCTCTCTAAACTGAATCCTCTAAACAGAGAACTCTCTCTCCTAGTCCCTCTCTCTCTCTATTTATCAATGTAAACTAGGCTCTTTATTGTATAAACTTTAAATATTAAAGGGAGTGACCGGCAATGTATGGCAGTTGAACTGAGAATGCAGTTTTGTAAAGAAATTTTCTAGGATTCATTTGAGACATATCAGACGTTTTTACGGTAAATATATTTGTTCAGCAAGAGCGCTAATTCAATTTTAAAATCCTCCTTCAGTGTCCATTCTGGAGAGATGATTTGGAGAATCATTTTTTTTAACGACGAAAACTGTCACACAAATTCTAATGTAAACTATAATTGGATGTTTAGGAACATATTTCTAAATAGAAATTTGTCAATAAATCAATGTTAGAATCAATTAATTCCTTTTTATCATTACATTATTCTCATTCTTTACAAATTTGATCGCAGACTTCTTTAATTTATTCGAATGCTGTCTTTTCAATTAAAATTGAGAAAATTTCCAAAAAATGTTTGTGAACAATGAGACATTACAGAAACTAATAAAAGAATAAGATTATAGTTATTTTCGATGATAAAGAGTTAATTTTTATTTTCTCAATCTGTTCCTAATCAACTTATTAGTTTACTGTCGAATTTTTGTTACATTTTTCGTGGTCATCATTGAATACATTTTTATACCCCGATTTTTTAAGTCATCCCTCAAAAATGGACAATCTATGAGGATTTTAAAGATTGAATTTGTACTCTTTCTGAACAAATATGCACCGTAAAAACGTCTGATAGGTCTCAAATGAATCCTAAAAAAATTTACTGTACAATACTACATTCTCAGTTCAACTACCATACATTGCCGGTCACTCCCTTTAAATCATTTTCTGCATACCGATGTGATGTAGGACAGTGTTGGAATAATTCCGTTAAAAATATCAAATAGTTAAAAATTTTGAATTTACTTTATTTCCAAAAAATATCGTATACATTCGAAACTTAGGCGGATCCAAACTACAAAGAAAATTGTTATTTTTGATTTGTATTATCTCATGCGTTGTAGCTGAATAAAAATGAATAAATAAATAAATAAAATCATTTGCTCTTTGAGCACGCAACATTTTATACTTTTGCGCATACAATCCTTTTATACTTTGCGCACACAATCTCTTTAAACTTTGCGCATACAATCTTTTTATATTTTGCGCATAATATACGTAAATCCCTCACATTGTATACCCCCCAATGTTTCGAACCCTCTAAGGTATGCTGAACCACAATCTGTAAATGCCATCTTCTCATGCCTAAACACAAAATGAAAACAAAATATAAAAAAACTTTAAAAATTTGCAAAAATACAAACTGAGTAACAAGACTGTTAACGTTCTTTAGAAATTTTTACTGCGAACCCTTTAAACTTTTGTTTTAGTAAAAATGATATCCTTGTTTGCTTTTCTGAAAATTGATATTTTTTTGCGGGTTTTCCTTAAAATTAAGGACAAAAACTAAACAAAATTAGTCTTGTTTTGGCCATTTATTTACCTAACTACAGTTCCTAAAAGACTAAAATTTACCTAACAACAGTTCCTAAAAGACTATATTTTACCTAGCTACAGTTCCTAAAAGACTAAAATTTGCCTAACAATAGTTCCTAAAAGACTAAATTTTACCCAACAACAGTTTCTAAAAGTTTACCTAACAACAGGTCTAGCAAACTCCCACCTTCTCTCTCTAACCAACATCATCACATATTCATCAAACCTAAAATTCTTTCGATTTACGATGTTGTCAATATCTATAACAATTTAAAGGGACTGTACACGTTATTTTAAGTGAACCTCTGTTTGATGAGTGTCGTGTTTGATTCACAGCAGTATCACCCTTTAATATCAAAGACTGATCAAGTATGTTGGACGTATCTTAAGAAACTTTTGTAAGTGTACCTGATTTGCAAAGGGTTACCCACAAAGGATGAGACTGTGAAAACGACTGTTACAGACAGTGTTAAATCAGTGAAGTCGTCTCCGAAGTCTCATCCTTAGGGGTAACCCTGTATGTGAGAAATATTAATATCTAGTATCTAAAAGTCGCAAGAAACCAATATTTATATTTGATTTTTTTAAACATCAGCTCTGTTGAGTTCTCATGGGACGCTAGCGTACACTCCCGTTTTACGGCAATTCGAACACTTTATGAGAGATAAACACACCGAGTTCTCTGGACTCGATGATCAGGCAAAGGTTTAAAGGTGCCATTGTAAATTGAGTTTTGGCATCTTTAGATGGATGGTAAATTGAAATTACGCTTACAACAGTCCTTCAAGTTAAAAAAATATATTAAGCATCAAAAAAAGAATGAAAATTTACAGAGGGAAAAAATAATTTAAAGGGAGTGTTCGCGAAAAATGAAAGGGGGTATAGGCTTAATGCGATAACAAAGAGCTTTTGATTGCTACTAATATTACTTCTATCTGTTGCGTTTATAAGGAGAAAATTGTTAAAAACGGCTAATACCTAAGATCGTAGTGTCCATACAAATTCAGAAAGATGCAACATTCAACTCTGATCGTAAACAAATCAATTTAATTCCAAACAAATCATTCAGATATTACAAACAATTGTCATCAATTATTTTTCGACGCATTCGTATTTTTTAATATTTTGTATTTTTCATGATCTGAGAGTTACTTATGAAAACATTTATTCCTGTTTCGAGGATTTTTGATGATGAAGACGACATTTTGATATTTTCTAGGAATGTTCGAAAATCCAACGCCAGCGAAAATTATTTTAAAAAAACAAAATCAAAAATATTATGAAATATTAACTATATACGAATGCGTCGAAAAATAATCGATGACTACTGTTTGTAATAACTAAAGAGATATTCGGTAACTTTATTGAATAATAGCATGAAATGAGAAATAAAAGTAAAGTTTAAAAATATTGGCCCTTAATTGGGAGTATCTAAACGGTTGAAAATGAAATAACATTGATTATTAGTGTTGAAAGGAATGGAACAGTTGGAGCTTCATGATGGTCAGCTCGCAGGTGTCAGCATCTTGGAAGCAAAGGTTTCACATATAGGCGACGGTCCTGGAGGGTTTGCAGTCTGTAACATGTGTGGGGAGGAACGATTTGCCTCTCATACCACAGAACATGTGACTGCTTTGTGGATTTGGACATCTGGAGGCTTAGACATTAGCAGCATTTGTTGCTAGAGTAGACATTTGCGGCAGTATGAAGGAGTTAGTAGTTCCTAATCGGAGGTGTTCGCATTTCGACGTTCTAAAGCTAACTGAGTCTGACGCTGCTCTCCACGAGTAGAGGCGGTGAAGGGGGGGGGGAAGAACAGGAGGAGACGCATTTAGGAGCGGATATAGTTTGATGTATTGTGAATGTTGCGCGGTCAACTGCGCTGCACATTGGTAATCGTCTTCGTATTTTTCCTTGTAATTTGTTACAACCCTCTTTCATTTTTTGTGAACACTCCCTTTAAAGGGGAAGAAAATATTGATTGAAATTAAAACGTTTACCAGTAAAATGTTAAAAGTAGAAGATATTGCATGATAACTATACTATAACCTGGCATAGTGGTTATCATAGTGCTGATATCCTTCAGCAATATTCCAGGCAATAATTCCTCCAGGTTTAGTTATTCTAATCAGTTCTTGGAACCCTAGTGGAGATATCAAACCCTGCAAAAGAGTCGTGGTTAAAGATCTTAAACATTAATCAGGAGAAGATATTAAACTCTAAACCATGAGAAGATATTAAACCCTAAACCTGGAGCAGATATTAAATCTAAACCAGGAGAAGATATTAAACCCTAAACCAGGAGAAGATATTAACCCTAAACCAGGAGTAGATATTAAACCATAAACCAGGAGAATATATTAAACCCTAAACCAGGAAAAGATATTAAACCCTAAACCAGGAGTAGATATTAAACCCTAAAACAGGAGAATATAATAAACCCTAAACCAGGAGAATATATTAAATCCTAAACCAGAAGAAGATATTAAACCCTAAACCAGGATTAGATATTAAACCCTAAACCAGGAGAAGATTTTAAACCCTAAACCAAGAGAAGATATTAAACCCTAAGATATTAAACCATGATACTAAGCGGTTGAATAACCTGAAAAAAGCCTGCACAGCAGAGCAGTGCGTCATAGGTAGAATCTGGAATTGATGTCTGCTTCTCCGGGTCTATAAACTCACGAAACACTTTTCGGAAGATACCACGGCTAATACCGCCTTCAAGATATCCCTGACATGGATCCAGTCCGTCGATCTGAAATTCAAAAATTATTTCAGGATGTTCTAAATAAGACAGGACACCAAAAAAATATGTTAAAAAAAATTGTCCAGAACACACAGGGATCTAAGGAAGTCAGACTGCCGTGCTGGTACAACCATTTCTTGTACTGGCCCGACCTGTACTGTTGATGTGTACAGTACCTGTGTATAACCGGCCACCCTGCACTCCTCTGCCACCACTCCAGTCCCACAGGCGACATCAAGGATCTCAGCGTCCAGGGGTAAACCGAGCTGAAACAGGGTTTCAGCTCAAGTAAGTGTGGATAAACCTTAATTAGTCATGGAACCTTCGATGCTTTAGTTAAAAATAGTCCGGATCGAATAAGGAATTACAGAGTTTTTTTTTGCATTTTTGAGAATACGAAAATATTCTCCAACTCAATATGAGATAAAAAAAATGGATTAGATTTTACAGGGTGTCCTACAAAACATGACATTTAATAAATAGTTATTTTTAGTTAAACAAATCTTTTGCTTAATTATATTTTACTTTGAAATCAATTTTAATATAACATGACTCCCACATAATATTTTTATTGATCTTTGGTATCAAACAACTAAACAAATAATGGAAAAAGACATTCTAAACTATTCACCAACTGTCATGTTTCGTGAGACACCCTTTACCTCCGTTTTAAGTTATTATTCTAAAATTTTAGGTTGTTTATACCTTGATAAACTGCTGGGCTAAGCTTACAACTTCAAAAGGTTTAGGCTCATAGTAATTATCTGTTGATTCATCATCGGAATGTTTGAGATTAGAATTGGTAGGATCATCTTTCGGATAAATAACATCTTCTTCAGTTTCTAGTTTTGAAGAAGGTTCCTCTCTTGATTCAGGGTTGGAATATTCAGAAGATTCAAGCACAAGAGAACTCTCTCCAAACACAGGTTTTGAGGATTTTACATCAGATAGGTTATCAGCAGGATCATTTTCATCCTTAAATTCTCCAGGTTCAGGATGCAAGGTTGGATTTTCAATAGATTCATTATTTTCTGTCCCGGGTTCAGGTTGGGTTCGACTTAAACTTTTTTTTTCTGGTTCTTCTATATTCACGTCTGTATTCACTTCAACCTTTTCTTTAGGTTCTACCAGTAATTCAGGCATTATATTTCTTATTTTTATCTTTTTTTAGGTTTGAGATAAATTTTATGTCCTAAAATGAGGTATATAAGACCTGAATGAAACTCAAGCTTTCCGAACAATCCAAGCCACTGCCTGATTTAACATATGCCAGTATGTGTGTAGAAAAGAAAGCCTTTATATAATCTGGAAAATAGTGGACAATGGGGAATTTTTCTGTACAACTCTGTTGAAGACGACATTCAGAAAAAGTTAAACATGTGACAAATATCTTTTTGTCTTTCTGCTCTGTCCCGAAACTTATCAAAATTTTACTGTTTCGAATCGGAATCGAAGTATTGGACAATTCTTTATACAGAGTGTCCCAATAAACATGGGAATTCAGTGACGAATTCGATATCGTCTTTTTAAATAATTCATTGATTTAGTATAGTGATACCTACTGAGAAAGCTGTAATCTGTAGGTGCTTCGTCTGCTATGTTTACATTTTGTTTGTTTATGTTTTGACTGCATTCGGTTGTACATAGTAAAACAAGAAAATTGCAGTATACTAACAGAGTAAACTTGTCCGTATTCACTGTTCATCTTGCGGAGACATTACAGATACATCTTTACAGCCATAAAGTTCATAAAATAAACTCTAGCAGACATAATAATATTATGGCTTTCGAAATTAGGTCTTACAATGCTAATTCATAACAAAGACGATATCGAATTCGTCACTAAATTCCCATGTTTTTTGTAAAAAGTAATAGCCTCTGTTTGGGTGTTTGTTTGTTTGTACAGGGTGTCCTACGAAACATGACAGTTGGTGAATAGTTTAAAATGCCTTCTTCCATAATTAGATAAGTTGTGTGATATTAAAGAGAATGATGAAAAATATTGTATGCCAATTATATTCTTGTAAAATTGATTTCAAAGTAAAATATATTTGAGGAAAAGATGTTTTTAACGAAATAACATGCAAAAAAGTCTTTATAATATCCAATATAAAATATGGAAGAAGACATTCAAAACCATTCAACAACTGTCATGTTTCCTGTATGTCCAATCATAACTCATATAAACCTCTTAACCGATTTGCCACAAATTTTGATTGAGGAATTTCGAATGGAACCAAGTGAATTCTTAAGCTTGGTTAAAATTTTAAAAGTTTAGTGGTTTTACTGCTATTAAAAAAAAATTTCGCAACAAAAAGAGACAGATATTTTTCTCTAAAATGCTTCAAAATTAGGCATAATATTCGAAAATGTGCTCGGTCCCATTTCTGAAGATATTAATTGCGTATTTACCCACTAAAAGTCGATTTATTGTAATAAAAAGTTTACTAGTAGCTGTCTGCTGAACAATGTCCACAATTTACATCGTTAAAATATTTTGCTCTAAAATGCCATTTAAACTTCAAAATGTACTCGAAATGTACTCGAAATGTACTCGAAATGTACTCGAAATGTACTCGAAATATACTCGGTCCCTTATCCCAAGATTTTTTAAAATATTACAACATCTTTTTATGTAATTTATTTTGAAAAATCCTCAAAAATTTCCTTGAAAGGGCGCAATTTATTCTATTCATTTGTATGAATCGTCAAAATAAAATATAAGCACTTTTTTACACAATACAACGATGTTTAGTAAGCTAAAGTTTTTTTTGAGACATCCTGTAAATATTCTAATACATATTGTATCTCGTTTATTTTTATTGTTATTTCAATACAACCGTTCATGATCCAAGCAACTAAAAATCATAAATATATTATTCTAATAAAACTATATAAATTATTCCAAATCATGGAACTCTGAACTAATATCACATTGTTTTTATATTTACATTAAACACCTCCCCTCATCACATTAAACTGAAGGTTATTTTAAATTTTGTTTTTCAAGTTTCAACACAACTTCTTCCGTTGAAATAAGGGTTGAAATACTTCTTATTTATTTTGAGAGTATAAGTGTCATCATCATGATCAATTTGTAATTTTGTAAACTGATTTTAAAATCTTCTGTCATCACGACTGTCATGCACTCAATTTTACACGAACTCGGGTACAGATCTACGTTCCAACAAGTACATATCCCCCCCCGTACTATGTAGTTGTACAGGAAGTGCAATTCCAAACGTATTTGTTCCCCTGATCCAGGGCCTCCTCCAGGTTGATATTTGTACAGGGAATATGATGCCAGGTAGAGCAGGTTTCACAGCACACGGAGCTACAATCCGCCCCAACATGTTCATCACATACTCCACAGGGGATAAACCTAGATTATACAGGGTTAACCACAAAGGATGAGACTTAAAGACGACGTGAAACTGTTTAAATCTGACGATTCTAAGGTTAAATGAAGCCTTGAATATGCCATTTCTACGGCAATTGTTCCAAGAAACAAGTTTTCAGTTGCCAGGAATAATGAATATAAGTAAACAGGCAATATAAATTCTGTAGAATTGTCTCAACCTTTGTGGGTAACCCTGTAATTTATAAATCATTTTTCAATACCATAGATGTCGCCAATAGCAACGTTTACCAACGATAGTAGAAAAAATGAGAGGATTATTGGATTTGTACTTCGTTTGTATAAGAAATGTTTGTCTGATGTACAATTACCGCATATACAATAACCTATTCTGAATATTTCTTATTCAAATGGAGTACCGTCTGCAAAGCATGTGTAATCATATGGTAGGGCGAACCGCGTCAGAATTATATCTCCCTTCTATTCCTTACTCCCTGAACTGTTTACATGCAACTTGGATTAGAATAGCTGGAAAACTAGTTAATTCTTAAAAATAAACAACAATAAGTATAAAGTGATTACACAAGCCCCTGGCTCCTGAAACTTATTTGGCATATTTGTTTGTTTCAATAAAACTACTTACTGCAACTTTTTCTAACACTCGCTCCTTTAATATGCTATAGCTGTACAAAACCCTATCTCATAAACCTGGATGAATTTCTAGGCATCTGGAAGAATCTTTTCATACCTGGACGAATCTCTAGGTGGTGGAGGTATCCGGACAAGGTTTCCAGTTTTCCTAAAGGTTTTGGCTGCCCAGCTGTTTATCTCTTCTTCACTCCAGTTCAGCTCATATCGGAGATGTTGGAACCATATCTCCTGAATAAGATATTGTTTGTGATTTTTTCTCTTCTAAACTAGACCTCTGTTTCATATGTACATTTAAATGCTGAATACCCTTCCAGTTCAGGTATCCCTTTTATAACATTTTACTTAAAAGAAATGTGTTTCTCTAAAAACATCATTGTTTTCTTAAAAAAAATATTGACATTTTGAATATAAAAATAATTCCTTCTATCATCTTCTGCTTTAAAAGAAGTTTTTTATTCAAAATCTAGTCGCAAAACATGATCTCTGTATTTTATTAAGTCCATATCAAAACTAAATTGGGTTTTAGAGTTGAGGACTTTACCTGATACCACTGTGGAGCCTTCGGTATCTCATAGTTATAGGATACACGGATCTCTTCTCCAGGTAGTATATCCTTGATCGCAACCACAGACATGATCAATCCAAACCTAAACCACAGACATGATCAATCCAAACCTAAACCCCAGATATGATTAATCCGAACCTAAACCCCAGACATGATTAATCCGAACCTAAACCCCAGACATGATTAATCCAAACCTAAACAATAGCAATGAACAATCCAAACCTAAACCCCAGACATGATCAATCCAAACCTAAACAATAGCAATGAACAATCCAAACCTAAACAATAGCAATGAACAATCCAAACCTAAACAATAGCAATGAACAATCCAAACCTAAACCCCAGATATGATCAATCTAAACCTAGAACATAGACATGATCAATCCAAACCTAAATCACAAAAATAATCAACACAAATGTAAACCAAAAAAATAATCAATTTAATAGTTAAATGTTCAAATTTTAAAAATATTCATATGATTCTTACAATTTTTTACGAAGGATTTGAACCAAGCTTAACTTTCAACTTAAATATGTTTCAAGGAACAGCTTTGAATGATAAAATAAAATTTGCTGTTTTCCGAATCCAAAACATTTAACTACATTGAGAAAAACAACACTATGGAATAGGGAGACGTCATTTAAGCAATATTTTTAATGTTGTAAGCAAATAGATTTACTAGCGCCTTATAATCGCGTCACTATAGTTCAATGAGTCTGTTAAGAATGCACAATTGTTCTATATTTCATGTTCATTAGACTATTTGAAGTCAAACCTTGAGTCTAAAAGTCATTTTCCTAGATTGACGACATTATATAGCTTAAAAATTCCCCTTATGAACGTACAATCTCATATTAAAAGTTATAAAATATTTAAAGCTGATTTTTTTGGAAAATGTTAAAAAGTTTTAAAGCTTGATACCCCTTCAATATTTCCATTACTATAACCTGGGATTCCAGAGCTGATTAAAGCATGCGTTAGGAGTGAATGAATGACAGGTTTTGTGTGCTAATGTAGCTCTATAGTTTAGCAGAGATTCATCCCTCTTCCTTATATCCATATCTAGATCACGATCCACGGCTATCCTAATTTAAAATATGATCGCTATTTTCGTTAATTTCATTAAAAATTAATTGATAAATTAAATTCATACAGTTAAACCCAGAAATTTGGAAACATCGAAAGAATTTTTAAAAAGTCGTCTTCTAAACCTACTGATAATGGATGCTGTAGATAATTAGTTTTTTTTCAAATTGAATAATACTATGGAGCTCCTTAAAACTGTTGACGTATATTTCCTGGCTGTTTATTGATTTCTACAATTACTGAGATTAAGGAATAATAGTATAAAACCCATTGAAAAATTTCCAAGACGACTTTATATAGAATCTTTCGATGTCTCCGAAGTCCTGGGTTTAACTATATAAGAATCAACTGTTAATTAGAATAAGTGAACGACAAGAACAAGATTGAAGGATTCTATTAAGAAAGAAGATTGAAGGGTTCTAACAAGAAACAAGATTGAAGGATTCTAACATGAAACAAAATTAAAGGATTCTAATAAGGAACAAGATTAAAGGATTCTAACAAGAAACAAGATTAAAGGATTCTAATAAGAAACAAGATTAAAGGATTCTAACAAGAAACAAGATTAAAGGATTCTAACAAGAAACAAGATTAAAGGATTCTAACAAGAAACAAGATTAAAGGATTCTAATAAGAATAAAGATTAAAGGATTCTAACAAGAAACAAGATTAAAGGATTCTAATAAGAAACAAGATTAAAGGATTCTAACAAGAAACAAGATTGAAGGATTCTATTAAGAAAGAAGATTGAAGATTGAAGGATTCTAATAAGAAACAAGATTAAAGGATTCTAATAAGAAACAAGATTAGAGGATTCTAACCTGTAATCTGACCAAACAAAGTTTTCTCCCTTGACACCCCACAGATGTCGTTGACGTATTCCATTAAAGAGAGAACAGAGTTGACCTTCACGGAGACGAACCTTGGCGAAGAGACCTTCTCCGGCCCCAGGGACAAGAGAGTCCTTCACGTACACATACCTCTGCTCGTACGGATCCCTTAGCAGTGCAGTACATGTAAAAAATCGTATTCAAAGTGGGACCCACAAAACTGTGGAAAAGTAAGACGACATTTAAGTAATCTTGTGTGATACAGATTTTCTTATAAAGCAAATAATTTAGTAAGTAGGATGTAAATCAAGTAAAATAAGTCTGCCTATTAAATGTAAAAATAATTTTATCACGATAAAATATTATCTCAAAATACGCGCAATAATCATGGGTTACATCAATTTCCCCCAGGTCCCTCTTCAAAAACTGCGCATTGTCCCTTTAAATATTATATTTACCTAAGCATTGGATGTTTTGTGATTATATTTGAAGACGAGGGTTCGTAGGAATATGTTCTAGAACTGTTTAAGGTACGAACATCTGGGACAGGTACTCCGTACTCCTTACTTATTCCTGAATTAATGTCGTCTTCAATTTGTGTTTAATGTTAGAAAATCTGGGACAGGTATTCCTTACTTATACCTGAATTAGGTCGTCTTTAATTTGTTCATTTTTTTCTTTCTGCACTGCAATATGTGTATTTTGTGCATTAGATCGAACAAGTTCATATGGGGCATGTGTACAATCACGTACATTTTCTACATACAAACACATGTTTGCTGTGTGTAGTAATGTATACTGCATTTGCACTTTCCCCCGCGTCTTGAAAAGAAAAAGGTTAATTTTTAAAACTTTGAACATTTTCTGCTTGAACTCTTAACGTTTTAACCGACTTCAGACCAGGAGCATATAAAGGGGTGGCATTGGGGGGAGAGCAGTATTATTTTCGTTTTACTCTTAAAGGGAGTGACCGGCTATGTAAGGTAGTTGAACTGAGGACGCAGTGTTGTGGAAAACTTCTTTAGGATTCATTTGAGACATATTTCACTTTTTAAAAGTCTGTAAATCCTGAGTTTGAGCGCAAATTCGACGTTCAAAACTCCTGATTTGGGGGTGGATACGCTTTCAGAATTAGTTTTTTTAAAATTATTAATTAACGACGACAAAAAATGTAAAAATATTCTACAATAAACTACAGACGTCATGTTTAGGAACATTTTGAGAAAATAAAAATTAATCTTATCATCGAAAATAAGTAATCTTGTTCAATTATTAGTTTCTATTATCTCATTATTCTAGTTTCTCGTTATTCACAAAGATGTTCGCAGATTTTCTAATTGAAGAAATCTGCGAATAAATTCAAAGAAAATTAGAAATTCAATATAATAATGAACACGAAATAATCGATTTTAGCATTGATTTATTGACAAATTTCTTTAGTGAAATCTGTTCTTAGCCATCTAGTTAGATTACTGTATAGTTTTTACTTTATTTTTCGTTGTCGTTATTGAATAATTTAAAAAAAAATTAATTCTGAAAGCGTATCAACCCCCAAATCAGGAGTTTTGAACGTCGAATTTGCGCTCAAACTCAGGATTTACATATCTTTAAAAAGTGAAATATGTCTCAAATGAATCCTAAAGAAGTTTTCCACAACACTGCATACTCAGTTCAACTACCTTACATAGCCGGTCACTCCCTTTAAGAGCTTTAATTCCCATGGGCTAGCCATCACCTTGTTATACTGAAGGCAAAATGGACTTTAGACTAAATTCAGTTGACCCTTCAATCAGAAAATGGGAAGTCCCATGTCACAACGGTACCCTTACAACATTCATGTCATCAACAATTATAATTCTGAATCTAACGGTCGTTTTTTATTTTGAAATGAGTAAATATTCTAGAACTTCCCTCTTTACACAGGAACCACCATTGGAAATAAACAATTTTTAACACAAACTCATTCATCCTTGACTGATAAAGGTTTAAAGGGTGTCGTTGTTAATTGGACACACAAAACACCATTACTGGAGATTGATGAGGTTCACTTGAAATTACGGCTACAGACCCTTTAAGCTTTATTAGAAAATTTACTTTTATCTAACCTATTAACTTAACGAGTCTACCAGTCCTCATCCGTCCTTTCTCATAATCTCCTTGGATAATAGTTTTTATATCCGGATACAGGTAGAGACTTCCTTCTCCTTCCGGTTTATTCTCCAGGTCTATTTCTCCGACATTATATACATTACCTCGACCCCATCTCCAGTGTACTCCAACCTTCTCACCGTTATTAAACCTAATTTAAAAAAGTAAAAAATAGAAAAATAGATAAAAATTTTTTTAAAGAAAATTGATAAATGAATGATTGAAAAATCAAGAAGAAACTGGACTGTAAATCAATTTGAAAATGAAAAAATTAGTAAATAAGAAAATAGATTAATGAAGAAATCAAACAATTAAGGAATAAATGAATAAATGAATAAAAAATAAATGAATAAATGAATAAATGAATAAATGAATAAATTAATAAATGAATAAATGAATAAATGAATAAATGAATAAATGAATAAATGAATAAATGAATAAATGAATAAATGAATAAATAAATAAATGAATAAATGAATACCTGCCGAAGCACCAGAACTGTTTAGTAGGCCCGAACTCTCTATAGAATCCATGACGAACTCCATTCTTATAAAAAACCTCTCTAACCACATTATCCCTGAACCAACTTTGCTCAAACAAATGTAAAAACTTATTTTCTTTATCATCCAACTTTTTATTCTAAGAAGGTGGTAATGCTTCAATCATCCTAAAGTTTGTCCTTAAAATAAAGTGGAAAAGAACGACGAACTAATGAACATATTGTTTAATAATAAGGTTTAAGAAAACTTTGCAAAGGCACTCACTCAAACTTGTTGACAAAAAAACTTAATATTAACAGTTAAAACGGCAAAGGTCGTCATCCAATTCCACTTTATTCTGGAGACCACTGTATGATTACCTGTCACATAAACTAATAGTCTCTTGAACGAATCCCTGGAGCTGATTATCCTTAAACCGTCCCATGAAACTATCCCCATTTTTCAAGACAAGGCTCGCCATCCCCTCTCTTGAACCGTGCTCAAGGTCCCCCCAGTAGTAATCTCCGTTCTCGTAATAGATCTCCGCCTCCCCATGGAACCTGTTCTCCTCGTCCCTGGTCCCGGAGACGAACCTGATCTTGGGTTCCGGCTCCGGGTTCCTCGTACACCTCGGCAACAGCTTCTCATATTTGACCTGGAGTTATTCAATTCTAGAATTCGTTGTTATTGCATCATTATATTATATACAGGTTGCAATCAAGGAGTATGAAATAGAAGGGAGATATAACTGACGCAGTCCGCCCTTCTATATGATTATACAATATACATTCTGTGCAGAATAGGTTATTGTATAAGCGGTAATTCTTACCAGACAAATATGTCTTATTTGAATGAAGTACCGTCTGCAAAGCATGTAAAATCATATGGTAGGTCAGGCCGCGTCAGTTATATCTCCCTTTTTATATACTCCTTGGTTGCGATGTATGTAAGTGCGTCATTAGTAAGTCTTTCGTAACAGTGCGTCCATATTGTGCGTCAACCTTATTTATTCGTTCGGATAAGTGCGTTCTCACAAGTACGCGCACAAGTGCTTGAAAGAAACAAAATGTGAAGCAGAAGTTGGTTTTAAAAAACATTTCTTCTTTTTGCTGGTGACACAAAAATCTTAAAACATTATCAAACTAAAGTTATTTCATTCCTATGTTGCACTTTTGCAGATAAAACAATAATAGATGGGGTTGAGAAACAGACAATAAATACTAACTGCGAAAGAAACTGTCGAAATAATCTTAAGTGAACCTTTATTCTAAATGAAACCCCAGTTTAAATTATGTCGAACCTGTTAAAGCTACAATGATAAATTGGATTTATTTTGCACAAAAATAGGATTTATTTTGATTTTTCCATGTTTTTCTTGAGAGACTGCNATAGTGGAATCAATATCTAAAAATTTCGTGTATAATGTTTAACTTGTTATTAATATGTTAAAATTTCTTGATAGAAAAACATATGGAATAATAAAATGGTTAGTTCTTGGATATTCAGAAAAAAAATTAAAATGTCCCCCCCTCGTCCCATTGAAAAAATGAAAGTTTTGAAAGGAGGAAACATAATACAAAAATCGACGGTAAGACTTTTATTTTCATGTGAAATATCTGCCAAGAGAATTTGATAGAAACCGTCCATCGTGGCCCCAATAAAAGGCTCTCCCTAATATTTCTAAACTAATCTGCAAAAGATAAACTTTTCTACTTCATTTTTGAACTCCTCTACGGAAACATCGGATAGAAATAGAGGAATTGAGTCTGAGCTATACATCCTTGAGTATACTGTTGGACGGGTTTGAACTTGGAGATACTATTTATTTAGTTCCTGATCTCCCCCTCCCCTCTCCCTCTCCCTCTCCCTCCCCTTCCTAACCTGTAGATCCTTGATTATACTGTTGGTCGGGTTTGATATACTATTTATCCAGTTTCTGAGCTCCCTCTCCATCCTCTCCTCCTCTGGACTGAAGGGAACCAGCTCCTTCTCACTGTATGGATCATCAACCTCTGCAAGTTTAGAGGCGTTTTTGATGTTGTCTTATTAACAATGTTTCATCGAAAGAACTCTTTAAACTTAGAAGCGAAGCCAAGTTTGTCTGGAATATAAGCAGAGTTTTGTAAATTTCAAAATTTAAATAATCAGATAAAGAATAGAGGGGACAATGCACGAGTTTTAAATGAAACCCTTTAAATAAACGTTCTTCTAAAAACACGATGAGAACTTATTACATTTGATTTATCTTTGAATGAATCAAATTTTAGGCCGAACAAAATTTGCTCCTTTTAATCATCTTCGTTGAGCTAAATTTATTCTACCTGGAAAGTATGAGCTTCTACCTGGAAAGTATGAACTCCTACCTGGAAAGTATGAACTCCTACCTGGAATGTATGAACTCCTACCTGGAAAGTATGAGCTTCTACCTGGAAAGTATGAGCTTCTACCTGGAAAGTATGAACTCCTACCTGGAAAGTATGAACTCCTTCCTGGAAAGTATGAGCTTCTATCTGGAAAGTATGAGCTTCTACCTGGAAAGTATGAACTCATACCTGGAAAGTATGGACTCCTACCTGAAAAGTCTGACCACCTACCTGAAAAGTATGACCACCTACCTGAAAAGTATGACCACCTACCTTGAAAGTATGAACTCCTACTTGGAAAGTATTACCACCTACCTGGAAAGTACCACTTATACCTGGAAAGTATGACCATTTATACCTGGAAAGTATGAAGTGAGGAAAACTTCAGGAACTGTTGCAGGTTTGACTCTCTTCTTCTCCGCCAACCCAACTCCTGAATCACAACTTGAATCCTCGGATTCAGTAGCATCAGTGTACTCATAATCAGATGAATCACAATCTGAATCCGAGTTATCTATCTTATCATTACTGTCTTCAACTGTATCCTGTAGTATGGACGGAAGATCTACTAAAAGCTCGATTTCTGCCATTTTCTCCTGGCTTATATTCTCCTGTTCCTCCAGTGTTAACACTTCAGGTTTCCGAGCTGAAACATAATTGTTTAACTCCGACAGTTCCTTCTCCTCAGATTTAATCTGAACAGTTTCAAGCTGTTGTGTGGTGTCTCGGTCAAATATCTGAATATGCTCTACGGTCTGCTGAATCACTGTACATACACAGGACAAAGAACTGAGATGAAAAGCTGTTGATGGATTAACTGGATACAGAGCAGGGTTAGGATATGTACTAAGGTATCCCGTAGACTCACTAAGCAAGCAAGGTTTTACATTTTTTAAATCGAATTACAGAGACAAAAAATATGGGAGAAAATCCATTGTATTCTGAACCAAAAAGACTCCCAAAAAATTTAAGAAATTTTAATTACAATAATTGTTTCAAAAGGTTTTTTATACAATTATTTTTTCTCATTCATTTGTAAAAATAATTATAAACGCTTGCCTAAGAATTGGAGAGATATAAAGTATCTGATCGCTTGCTTTAAGATAAGTTAGTTGATACTGTTTACAAGGTTTCTCTGGTTTATTATCCTTCTCAGGTTGGGGTTCTGATAAATGAGGTACCCTGAGAAAGTTAGGTTCCTCGGACGGTTTTATGTGCTCCGAGATTGCCGGAGGTTGGAGAGGTTTTATCCGAACTGACTGTGTATTGTGTGAGCAAGGAGCGGTTTGAAAAAATATCCTGCTTTCACATTTATCCGAACTATCCAAGTTCGTTTTGTCTCCCATGGGCAGGATGTTTTTGCGCGAGAAATAATTCTCCGTGTAGGTTTCAGAATCCGGAGAGTTTGTAACCTCGACATTCTGCTTCTTTGTACAATCTCATATTTATCTGGGGGTATACAGTATACGGTACTTATACAGGGATATCCGCTATATCATTCTTTATAAAATAAAGGATACTAGGAAACTAATATGCTAGGATAATACCAGAAAACAAGGATACCAGGATCCTGGGACACTGTTTATTCTCGGATAACACCAGGATGTTAGGATACTACAAAACAAGGATACCAGGTTGCTAGGATTATTGGATACTTACAGAAAACTAGGATATATAGGATAAAAGGACTATAGGACGGCCAGGATACTCGGATGCTAGAATAGGAAGCTAGGATGCCATGGAATACTAGGACACTAGGATACTAGGATGCTAGAATACTAGGATACTAGAATACTAGAACTTTAATAAGGATAATAGGCTATAAATACTACAAGATACCTGGACGCTAAGTATGCTAAAAATACTAGGATACCATGATACATCGACCGATTGACTATGGTATTAGAACGCTCAATTAAATATTAGGCCTACTAGGATACTATATGAGACTAGGATACTAGGATATTAGGATACTATCATTTGTTGAGAAGTTTACATCCGACTTTAGAATTTTACGATATTTTGAATAACCCAAGAATCTCTTTGAAATGTAAACATAAAATGCAAAATGTTTCCTATCTTAAAACACCATAAATCTTGAAAGAGGAGTCAGTTAAGTATTCCGTAGACTGAAAGTCCAACCTTACACATCAATACAGCAAGGGGTTCTTTGAGATCTACACCTTGTATGAGTCTAGATTTCGTTTTATAGCTCTTCTTCGCTGTAGGAGCAGGTTCCACTCTAGCTCCTCTAGCTCCGATCTACTGGTTTGCTGAACCACGAAGCTCTGGGGGTTTATTCTCCATGTGGTTCCAATCCCAGGCCTTCTTTCCCGTCTGTCGTGCTGTCCTGAAACGTTTTATTGTCATTTTACACGTTTCATTTGCATTAAACATTTAGCAAACAAAAACATAAGGGTTAACTGTTAAACATGTTGTTAAAAATAAAACTTAAAATAATGAAAACCGTTCAAAATTCTGTAATTCTTTTTTCAGATTCTAAATTTCTAGTTCTGGGTTACCAAACATCATGTTTATTTATTGTTTTTTGTTTTGTTTACAAACATTCTGTGGGAATTCAACTCTTTATTTTTGTTTTTCCTATCTGTGTTGTATTTATTTTTTGCTGCTTTAAAGAGCTGAGAGAATAAAGATAATATTTGTTGTGAAGTTGATTGACCTGACGGATGTTTTGTAGATTCTCGTAGCTCCGCCCGATCCTCAATCCGTTTGCCCGCCCCCGGCTCCGCCCTTGACCTCTGCTGACCGGCGGCTGTACTCCTACAAAGCACACAATACAATAAACATATGTTTTCAGCAGAACTGTAGACAGGAGTAAAGTCAAGATAAAAAATATTTCAGTTCTTGACAAAAACATAATTTTTCAACCCCTAAATCTTTGCAACCCGACTTCATAGACATTTCAAACTATGAATTATATTAGATCAAAGCGTGTAAACTCGAAATATCAAAGATTTAAACCATCAAATTGCAAAAGACATAAAAATTAACAAATTTTTATTTGTTGCAAGAACTCAGTTCCTTTGCATAAAATCGGTAGGTTTATTACAAATATAATTGTCTATAAAAGGAGCTGTAGACGTAACTTCCAGTGGGTTTCTGGCTAAAGTGTCAAGTACGATTCACAATGCTACCCTCAAAAGTTTGGGCTGAACACGAATGCACTATATATCAATATTTATCTCTTTAAAAATTTATTATTGCAATTTGTGCATTCTCTACAAATACACTGCGTATTTCTGCTTCAAAAAAAATGGAAGAGATTGTCGAAATTAAACAGTTTTCAAGAAAACGATGATATCTTCCACATTTATTATTAGATAAATGTTTACAGGGTACTGTTGTAAATCAGACAAAACTTTGGAGGGTACTGTTGTAAATCAGACAAACGCCTCTTTAATTGATAGATTACTTTATATTGTTTGAATCTAGAAAGTGAAAATGGAAATCTGGAAATGGAAAATGTTTGTTTTCAGTTTTCCTGATATTAGTATAAATGCTTTCCTTCTGCATTGTGTAAGTACACACAACTGCGTGAACATTAGATAAACAAAAATACTTACCCGAGCACAATGTTCTGCTAAAAAATTTTAAAAAAAGAACTGAAATTGACAAAAGAATTTAAAAAAATTTGGTGAACAAACAAAATTGTAGATTATCCAGAAAAAATGAACATTTTTGTGCTCGGTTTGTGTTAGGGCAGTAAATTTGCGGAAATATCCAAAAAAGACAAGGTCATATTGTATCCAGTATGCTGAGAACACTGCCCCCCCCCTTTCCTTCCCTCCCCCCCTTTCTTGTTAAAATGTCCAGACTGATGTATTTTTTACCGACAAAGGTTCAGATTTAAGCAAACAGGGAGGCTCAGATTATATTCTTAACAGAGAGACTCAGATTATATTGTAAACAGGGACTCAGATTATATTGTAAACAGGGAGACTCAGATTATATTGTAAACAGAGAGACTCAGATTATATTGTAAACAGGGACTCAGATTATATTGTAAAATCGTTCTCTAGGAAATTACCGAACGCTGCAGCCACAAATTAACCCGACCCTTTTAACGTAGAAGAAATATATCTCTTTTTGAATAAAGACATTTTAGTTAAAAAAGTGCATTTTTACTTTAAAAAAAAGTTAAGTATGAAAGGGGGGGAGACTTATCGTTTTACAGAAAATCACAATAAATTCTAATAATTTACCATATTACATTATGCTTTTATTTCGGAAACGGTGTTGAGGAGTTTTTAAGTTATTTACAAAAAAGTCGCTTTTTTATTCAACTTTTAAATACGGAATTTTATTTGAGTTTTGAATGTTTAAAAAAATAATTTCCTGCAATCTATGCAAGCATTACAATTTAGTTGTTCAACAATTTGTACTTTTTTTTGTAATTCAAAATCCAGGGGGAGACAGTCAAATGAAGAGAAAGCTTTAATTTTAATGACGTTCGTGAAATATTCTAATTTCACATTAGTTTTAGACCTAGACCCACACTTTCAAGGGACTGTAAGCGTAATTTCTAGCTACCTTCCTTCCCATGATGGCAATGGACGATTAACAACGGTACCCTTGAAAAGTTTGACTGATCAAGCATTAATGAGATATCAATGTTTTTGTTTCCATAAACTGTTTATTTTCATTTGCAGTTTCTCTGCGTAAGTGACTTTCTTGTTTTTGAGAAGCAACCTCACAGAAATCCACGCGTGACGGAATCTTCTACATTTTTGATCAGACTAAGGTTTTATAGGTACCGTTGCAAATCAGACATTGTCATCTTTGCATGGAGGGTCACTTGAAATTACGCTCTCAGTCCCTTTAACTACTGTACTTTAGTGTTGTGTTTGTCAGTAAAAAGTATTATTTGCCCGGTTGCTATATTTTACAGGGTGTCCCAAAAAACATGGGAATTCAGTGACGAATTGGATATCGTCTTTGCTATGAATTAGCATTGTATACCTAATTTCAAAAGCCATAATATTATTATGTCTGCTAGATTTTATTTTATGAAAAGGGTAAAAGACTGTAAAGATCTCTATAATGTCTCCGCAAGATGAACAGTGAAGACGGACAAGTTTACTCTGTTTGTATACTGCAATTTTCTTGTTTTACTAAGTATACAACGGTATTCATTCAAAACATAAACAAACAAAATGTAAACATAGCAGACGAAACTCTTACAGATTACGGCTTTCTCAGTAGGTATCACTATACTAAATCAAAGAATTATCTAAAAAGACGATATCGAATTCGTCACTGATTTCCCATGTTTATTGGGACACCCTGTAGAATGAATTTTATGGTTCGGATAAAAGTATTCTGTTGCGGGCTCGACACTGAACAAAACAGTTGGAATTTGTTTTGAAAGTTGAAATTCATTTTATGAGACAAACACAGGAATTTTAAAATTCCTCTCCTAGTAAGTTGATCTCCCACGGGGTTCAAACATAAATATGTAATATTAGGACCTAATATAGACCCTATAGATACATTTGGCGGAAAGTGTTTGCATTATAAACTTAGTTTATTCATATCAGAGAAAATTCTTGAGTAAAATTAAGAGTTTTTACCTAAATTTATTTACATGTTCAGACTTTTCCTGTTCTCTCCAATCCGTCGTGTTTCCTTCAAACCTACTCCGACTCCTTCAAAATTATTTTTTAGCTCTTCATGTTCTTCTCAGTGACACAGTTTCCAAGATTTTAAATCATTCCCATCTCTATCAAACCCATTCAGTTTTTTTTAAGGTATCTGCAATCCTTCTCATTTCCTCCCAACCTTCATATATTCTTAGATTATCCATCCTTCTTATTTCCTCCCAACTTTCTCATCTCTATATAAATTTGGCTTGTCTGTCTGTTTGTTTGTTTGTTTGTCTGTTTGTATCCAATAAACGTCAAAACGGCTGAACCGATCGGGCCCAAATTTTTTGTGGAACATCACGTGACCACAGGGAAGGTTTATGAATGATAAAAATTTAAAAAATGTGTTTTAAAGATTTTTAATTTTGTAAAAAAAATTAAATTCTTAAAAAACCGCGAATTTTTTTTTTAAATCCGCAAAATTTTTTTCTTCTTTGTTTTAAATGTAAACAAAAAAAACCTGTTCACAATTTAAATAGATGGGCGCGAAGCGCCATAAAAGCCTAGTATTCTTAGATTATCTATCCTTCTCATTTCCTCCCAACCTTCTCATATTCTTAGATTATCCATCCTTCTCTTTTCCTCCCAACCTTCAAATATTCTTAGATTATCCATCCTTCTCATTTCCTCCCAACCGTCATATATTCTTAGATTATCTATTCTTCTCATATTCACCCAACCTTCTCATATTCTTATATTATCCATCCTTCACATTTCCTCCCAACCTTCATATATTCTTAGATTATCTATTCTTCTCATATTCACCCAACCTTCTCATATTCTTATATTATCCATCCTTCACATTTCCTCCCAACCTTCATATATTCTTAGATTATCTATTCTTCTCATATTCACCCAACCTTCTCATATTCTTAAATTTTTTAATGGAGGGTCATTTTACATTATGTTTCAATTCTCCTACCTCAGCTGATTTTCTAAAACTCTCATCTCGATACAAGCACTCTCATATTTATTTAAAGCTTCCCGCATCTAGATTTAACTCTAATTAATAAACATTTCTTGTGATGAAACCCTTAACATGAAACTATTCTGTTAATACAGCCCCCCCCCTCCCCTCCTACGGGCCACAAGGCATAATTCATTCGTGTCAAAATTTCCCAAGTCTCGTGATGAATAAATATATTTAATCAATTTAAAGATTTTTTCCAGACACACATCCCCAGCTTAGAGTTTAATTCAGGCTGCTTTTATCTAACTTTTGATTTTAAGATAAAAATATTTCAATCATCTTTAAAAAGAATAATTTGTTTTGAAGTTTCGATTTCAATACTGCGAACCCAATCCCTGTTCATCAAATACGTTCTCTTCATTAATTAATTTAATTCCTGAGTATCCCGAATACATCCTTCAAGCATGGATTTACGGTCTGCTCTTTTCTAAACAAAATATCAGTTAACATGGTTAATTAGTTTTAAGTTAATTAAATTAGCATCTATATATATCTATATAATAAAACAAGACATTCGTATATATATATGTTGCGTATAGCCGGCCAAACGGCTTGACCGATTGGGCTGACATTTTTTGTGGACACTCATGGGTAGCCTGGGGGTGTCATAGGCAAAAAAAATATATAAAGTAGTAATCTATATTTGTCAGTCTGTCTACTTTTTTGGATGCCCGATCATAACCCAAGAACCCCTCGATCGATTTGTTTGTTGATCTCAGAAGAACCAGGGGAATGTTCTTTGCCTGGTTTAACAACTCTAGGATGAGTGGGCTGACGTTATACCTGGAATTAGAAGTTTCAGGTGAAGTAAGAGTAAAGAGTATACCTGGAGTAAGGTTTCCAGAATAAGTAGTACTGAAGAGAATACCTAGCGCAAGGAGTTCCAGGTTAAGTAGGACTAAAGAGTATCCCTGGAGCAAGGAGTTTCAGGGGAAGAAGGAGCAAACAATTTACCTGGCACAAGGAATTTCAGGATAAGCAGGACTGCAAAATATACCTGGAGCAAAGAGTTCCAGGATGAGTAGGACTTTACCTGGAGCAAAGAGTTCCAGGACTGATCTTGACTGACACTTTTATTCTCCTCTCGCTCTCTTTTACGGATAAACATTTTATCTATTAGAACTTAAAAACTATTTATTTAATTCGACAGTACGAAAGGGACATCATTTTTGTTATAATTTATTTTGACAAACTATATTTTTACAGAGACGGATACAGGGGTACACAGGATAAATGGGTACACAGGATACAGGGATACAGGGATACTTAGACACACAGAAACACGGCTACAAGATGTTTACCGTGTAAAGATTTCACAGGAATCCAGGATTCGTTTATATACAGGCGCGTACACAGGATTTTAGGCAGGGGGGGGCAAGATTTCGCGCGAAAAAAATTTTTTTGCCCCCCCCTGGCTGTTTTTTGCCCCCCCCCTGGAATTGTTTTGTTCAAAAAGTCAATTAACACCATAAAAATACACCAAAAAGACTACATTTTTGGGTGTTACTAACCTTATAGAGTCTAAAATTTATTCTAAAATTTATTCCTTTGCTCGAAAAACTAACTTTAACTTTTTAACTTAATAAATTTATAAATTTATCACTTAACTCCATCACAGCTAACTAAATCAATAATCACAGCATCATTGCATAAAGGGGAACTTGAAATTACACTTATTATCTCTTTATGAAAATAAAGGAATTGAGTCTTTGCCACAAACTCTGATTTTCTAATCACTATATCTTTGGAACCAAATGTTGGAGACATAGATAAATAAATAAACATAAATAGCTTATGTACGCAAAATCACCAAGAATTTTACAGTCCGCGAACTCCTACTTCTAGGGGTCAAAGTATACTTTAATGATAAGTGGGGTGGTTTGGTGTTTTTATTATTAAACCACTCAGGAGTGAATTTTATTTTGAGAATATCAAATTATGGGGAGGGGGGTCAAGAGTAAAGAAC